CTATAATTCTAAAGTACCTATTATTGTTATCTTAGTAAATAAGTTTGCATAGTTTTTAGCCTTGTAGGTGTACTTAATTACGTTAAAGTTTAGCTTATAGGCGTAACAACCATTTCATACAATACCACACAAATATATTTACAAAGAAAAGGAACGGCAATTTTAAAACAATTGAAGTGTATGATAATAATTATATTCTAGTCTGTAAATTGTAAATTTCAGCATAGCTGAAATATAAAACATGATGTGAATGAGGATTTGAAGATTCAAAGTTTTTGAAAGTGCTCCTAAGCTAAAAGCTGAAGCTGACTGTACCATCTATTCTAAAGTATTATGGTTATCCTAGTAAATAAGTTTGCGCAGTTTGTAGCCTTGTAGGTGTTACTTAATTAATTATGCTTAAGTTTAGCTTATAGGTGTGACAACAATTACATAAAAGACCGTCACAGAAATGCATTTGTTGTTGCAATTCACGAAGGCAAGTGAGCTTTACATGTGTGGTGGCTCGCTACTGATCGTTTTCAAAAGCTTTGACAGACACTACACTACCGTTATGTGCATGTACACCTACACACACACAAGTAAATCTCACTTGCCTTTGTGAGTTGCAAGAACTATACAAGCAAAAGTCACTACAATTTTAAAACATTAAGGTACAAAACTGATTCAACAGATGTCGCTGTGCTGACTTGAATCGCGATGGTAAAGTTTTCACAGACGCTTATTAATAGCCCGTGGTTATTAAAGTATAAATAATAATATCCTAGGGAATAAGGATTTGAAGTTTCACAGTTTTTGAAAGTGTTCCTAAGCTAAAAGCTTAAAGGGCACAAAAATAATCACATCATACCTTAAGGTGCATATTTCAAGTGAAAAATTACGCACGCAAATTAATATGTCGTCTCAAAGCAATGAAAAATGCACTTTATTCCCTTGGCATACAACCTTATGAATAAGTTCCATCTTTTTAGGCCAGTAATTAGACAATCGACAACAATATTATTAAACAAATTTTGTTCATTGCATTTCAGTTAACTATCGCGCCATCTTTAATTCTAAAGTAATATTGTTATCCGAGTGAGTTGCAAGAACTATAAAATCCAAAGTCATTATTGTTTNTTCTCTAAGATAAACTGCAGGGTCTGATGATGTAGCTGGAATGTGGCCATAGAAATAGGCTAGTTTCTTTAAAAAAGACTTTTGGTCCGTCAATTTTACAATTTCAAAAAATATTGGACACAGGATATTTTTATTTTTCAATTAAACAAGTAATTACGAAGATAATGATGCGATGAAATTCCGCGTGACGACACAAATCGCCACATTTTTAAGCATGCCTTGACGTCATGTGCCTCATCTTCTAAACTTTGGTGCGCTTCATCTCTTTAAATTTTCATAAGTTTAAAAAAGTGAAAAATACATTTAGAGTTTTTTTTTTGGTAAGTTCACCGACTGTCTTATTCAAACTCTTGCTACTTTCTTGCTTTATCCACGAAACATCCCTATTCTTCGAAATTATTACGATCTACAAACGGAAAATCTCTGCTACTACGCCGCAGTAAATTCCCCATCATAAATAAAAAGATTTTTTTTTAAAACAAGCTCTTGTATGCTAATAATTTTGGTTTCATGACATGCTCCTAAAATTCATCACCTTATACGAGGATTTCAGTTTTTATCTCCTAAAATCTAATTCTAATAAGTATGAAAAATATAAATTGTTTTCTTCACGTAAATCGATTAAGTTACAGATTCTGACTAGCTCCTAATTTGGATACTGATTGCAAAGGCCTAGTAAATAAATAACGTAATAATTTTTCTACTTGTATTTATCTAGTGCAGTTGTTTTGGAGTCAATTATAGTTTTTTTACACTAATAGATTCTATTCAGGTAGAAAATAGCGTCTGAGCGCGTCATAATTCAATTGTATTGTCTGACTGCACGTACTCTATGAACAATTCTGACATAAAATCTATTGTCGAACAAAAGCTGGGGTGCACCATCTTACTTCAACTTTGACAAGCGTCAAAAGTCTGTCTAACTCCATACAAAAAACACCGGTTATCGCCAAAGCTACGGTCAAAGTTAGGTCACGTCAGGTGGTGCAACTTAGCCAAAGAAAAAATTCATTTTGATCGCTAATGTCAGTTTGTAGCGAGTGACACAACCTCCCCGTCTGAAGGCCAGCGGCCGACTGCCGCCCGCACCCCGTATTGTTTTAAAACATTCAAGTTTCAAAGTACGAAATTGATTCAATAGATGTCGCTGTGCTGACTTGAATCGCGATGGTAAAGTTTTCACAGACTTGTATTAAGCCCGTGGCTATTGAAGTCTATTATAATATTTCAGCATAGCTGAAAATACAGAGGAATGAGGAGTCAAATCCTCGAAAGTTTTTGAAAGTGTTCCTAAGCTAAAAGCTTAAAGGGCACAAAAATAAGACATCAAACCTTATACCAGGGTCGTAAGGTGCATATTTTAAATGAAAAATTACGCACGTATTTTAATATGTCGTCTCAAAGCAATGAAAAATGCACTTTATTCCCTTGGCATACAGCCTTATGAATAAGTTTTATCTTTAGGCCAGTAATTATTATTAAGCTAGTGATTAGCAGTGGGCATATTTAGGCAATCGACAACAATATTATTAAACAAATTTTGTTCATTGCATTTCAGTTAACTATCGCGCCATCTATAATTCTAAAGTATTATTGTTATCCGAGTGAGTTGCAAGAACTATACAATCCAAAGTCACTATTGTTTTAAAACATTCAAGTTTCAAAGTACGAAATTGATTCAATAGATGTCGCTGTGCTGACTTGAATCGCGATGGTAAAGTTTTCACAGACTTGTATTAAGCCCGTGGCTATTGAAATCTATTATAATATTTCAGCATAGCTGAAAATACAGAGGAATGAGGAGTCAAATCCTCGAAACTTTTTGAAAGTGTTCCTAAGCTAAAAGCTTAAAGGGCACAAAAATAATCACATCATACCTTATACCAAGGTCGTAAGGTGCACATTTCAAGTGAAAAATTGCGCAGAATAATATGTCGCCTTGAGGCAATGTAATGTGCACTTTATTCCCTTGGCATACGGCCTTATGAATAAGTTCCATCTTTTTAGGTCAGTAATTATCATTAAGCTTATGATTAGCAGTGGCCTTATTTAAACAACTGACAACAATTTAAGTTATAAACAAATTATGCTCCTAAAGTACTTTGTTATCCGAGTGAATAAGTTTTCCCAGTTTTTAGCCCAGTTAGTAGGGGTACTTAATTAAGTGTAATTTTAGCTTTTTTGTGTGATAGAAGGCAGCCGAGCAGACGGATCACCTGATGGTAAGCAATTGCCACCGCCCATGGGTGTATAGGGGACGTACCAGTGAAGTCACAAGTGCGCTGCCAACCTTTTAACTCCCATTCCCCCTATTGGGCCTCCGGTACCCTCACTCACTCGGCGAAACACAGCGCAAGCTGCTTCACGCCGGTTTTCTGTGAGGCCGTGGTATCACTCCGGTCGAGCCGGCCCATTCGTGCCGAAGCGTGGCTCTCCCACGGATAATGCTTAAGTTTACAGGCGTTACAATCATTACATAAAAGACCGTCCCAAAAATACATTTACAAAGAAAAGTAACGGCTATTTTAAAACAATTGAAAATTGTCACAAAGTACAAAATTGATTCAACAGAATATGTCCCTGTGCTGACTTGAATCGCGATGGTAAAGTTTTTACAGACGCGTATTAATAGCCCGTGGCTATTGAAGTCTATTATAATATTTCAGCATAGCTGAAAATACATAGGGGGAATGATGATTCAAATCCTCGAACATTTTTGAAAGTGTTCCTAAGCTAAAAGGGCACAAAAATAAGACATCAAACCTTATACCAGGGTAATATTTCAAGTGCAAATTTACGCACGCAAATTAGTATGGCGTCTCAAAGCAATGAAAAATACACTTTATTCCCAAGGTCTAGAAACTTATAAATAAGTTCAATTTTTAAGACAAGTTATTGTCTTTATTACCACAAGGTGACAATTGACAAATAAATGTCTAAGGATCCATTCCCACGGCAATCCGTTTTTTCAGCTTAGCTGAATAAAACAGAATGGGAATAGGTTTATAATCTAAGCTATTTGTATAATATAATTAAGTTAATTTTAATTATGTGATATTTATCTAGTCCTTATATTGTGATATTATTAAATAAGTTATTATATTTATAATAATTATGTATACACGATTTAACAGTTTTCATATTACTTATCAGTTTTTTCTTATCATTTATATTTTACGTTACGTTACTCATACTTTTTGGAGGTGCTGCCGCCAAAAGGCAAGGCAGCACCAGAAATACGATTAAAATAACCATGACAAACTAATTATTCATAATTAGATATATTTACATACCTACCTATACTTAACGCCCGCCACTTGGAACGTTGCACGTTGTAGCATAACATGACTACTTAACTACCTATTTACATCCAATTACAACCGAATTAGGTACAACAATAATATTGGCAATCGTTTCATTAAAATTAAACGACTTAAATTTTTATATTATTATAATAAGTTATTATAATAAGGACTAACGGAGTTCACATTTTATAATAACCATTACATACTAAATACGATTATAATAACCATTACATACTAAATTCTATTAATAATTGATATAATTTTACATACCTACCTACACTTAACGCCCGCCGCTACATTTAAATTCATAATTATGTACATAATAGGGTCCGTTCCCACTAGGGTTTGTACCCGGGTAGTCCCGGAACCGAAAGAACCGGGAAAACCCGGGTTTTTTCGACAGCTTAAGAACCGGGTCAAGAAAATTCAAAACCCGGTTCTTCCGGTTCTTTCGGGTTTTGCATAGTTATCTAAAAATCTGTTATAGTATTAGGCATGAGTCGTAACAAGAAAATTGCGAACGTTTAGAGAACCTAAAGATATCAGATTAGCTACTAATAAAGATTACTTATTGTACTTTTTTTTTTTTTTTTGTGAGATATGTAAATATTTTAAGCATTTTTCTTATGTAACCGTAAACACCTGAAAATTCACCTTGCTTGTCCAACACATGGTTATTAATACAGGGTGATTTTGTTATCGGTGTCCAATTTTTTTAAAATATGAAGCTCTATAGAACAATTTTACAATACAACTTTATCTTGATTTTTTTAATCGCGGTATTTTTTGCGAAAAATCTTAATTTTTAAATGTTTAGGCTTATTTTCGCGTACCACTTAAGGTTTGCAGTTAACCTATTTTTCTATGAACGAAGCAAATAATATCCATTTGAACCAATTTTGAAACCGCACGCAGCGGATAAAAATAATTAAATATGAAAAAAACTTATTGTTTTCTTTACGTAAATTGATTAAGTTACTGACCCTGAGTAGCTCCTAAAAATTTGGATACTGATTGCAAAATCACTCTGTATAATAACGTATCTAAGAACACATTTACAATAATTGAAAAGAAGTTTAACATTGTCTCATCATATCCCTAATGCTAGGAACTACAAATAAATATACACAGGGCAGGTATGTAGGTAGGTACACCGTCGTAGACTGCATCTCACTTAACATCAGGTGTGATTGCGGTCAAATACCTGCCTTGTTTTGCTTAAAAGAAAAAGGCCCACAATAATGGAAAAACTTACGATACACAGACCAATCACGGCGGTCTTGAGGTGGTGCAGCGCGTGCGGCGGCAGGAAGGCGGTGCGGAAGAAGTGCTCCTTCTCGAAGGTGGTGGCGTGCACGAAGTAGCACACCTGGCGCTCGCAGCGGTCGTTCTCGAAGTCGCGGCAGAAGCGGTACACGCCCTTGAGCTGGTCCTTGTCGAGCTCGTGCGCGTAGATGCAGGCGGCGCCGCGCGCGCACGTGCCGCGCACCCAGTCCTTGCACATGGCGGCGGCGGGCTTGCGGCGCGCCGGCGCGCTCGTACTCCTCGTCCCGCTTCAGCGTGAGCGGGCACGCGGGAGGCGAGTCCGGAGGCAGCGGCGGTTGCACCACGGAAGTTCTTTTTTTTTCGTTCGCTTCGGATATTTGAATTTGATCTTCTTCAAATTTGGACTTAAGATATTTTTTCATGTGTTTAAAATTTGGCGAAGGTCGGAAGTTGATGGTGTCGTCGATGTGGTGTTTTTCTTTGCAATTGCCTGTCGATTAAATGAAATTTGATAAAATATTGTTAGTGTTCTTTCAATAACATTGTTGATCGTTTTAATCCATCCGTTGGTGATCTCATCAGAAATGATAACCATTTTAATTTCGCACAGCGCCCACAAATAATTCGCAAAAGCACTCGTCCACATATCAGGTTTTTTTTTATTTTAATAAAAAAATATTTTATTAGGTTTTACGGTCATTGCTTTAAATTTTCTTGCGGGGAACATAATCAAATTGATTTATAGTTCAAACAATTTTTCAAGTTTCTTTATATTATGTATGATTACATTTTTACAAACATGGTTCAAACTTTCCCTCAATATTATTATTATATTGTTAATTGTATCTTGCACTATATAGATCTATTGTTGATTTTTATTCTATTGTAGAGTCGGAAATGTGATTATTATTAATGTGACTGACTACCAAATATTAATTTGAATCGAATCATACATTGGTTGTTATTTATTTTGTGATAAATAACTTAGCTTGCATTTATCGTTTAATTTGAATTAGTAACGTTTCCCAACATTTCATTATACAGGGTGGCCCAGAAGAAAATTTACTTAATTTACTTTTGAAAATTCAAGGAAACGAAAACTGTACATTTTTATAGAACTTTAACTATTGCAATTTAAAGAAAATTTAATGCAATTTATTTATGTGTATATTTCACTGTGGAAACTTAATTGGTTTATGTGTTTTCTTACTGTACCTAAGTTAAATTATATTGTAACTATATGTTTCCCAAAAATAAATAAATAAATAATTTTTTAACGTTTATTAAATTACATCGCCCAGGAGATTTCCTTGAACTTTTTAGAAGTTGATTTTTTAAATAACTAATAATTTACTGTTTTCGAGAAAAATATATATCGTTAAGTTGGATGAAAAAGACTGATTGTTGTACCTCAATTGAAAACTAATTATTTTGCTTTTTAAGAAGATTTTAGAATTTGATTTTTTAAGTGTTTTATTTTATTTTTGGGAGTAAAATTTAGTAAAAATAGAAAAATATTGTAAATCATGTTTGTTGATTATTCCTAGTCTATTCAAAGAAGTGTTATTTTCATAGAAAAATCATAATCAAAATATTTTTTTTTTTTTGGAACCGAAAGAACCGAAAAAACCGGGGCTCCCGGTTCTTATAACCACCAGACCCGAAAAACCCGGTTCCTCAAACCAGAACCGATTCTGCATTCCCTAGTTCCCACAGCCATCCGGTTTTGCGAGATCCAGTAATGTAATCGGTTTTTTGCAGGACACTGCAAACTAGTTGTTCGTGTGACCATTAATTAATTACTATTAAAAGAAGTATACTACTAAACGGGATCCTGCAAAAAACGGGATGTCCCGGAAGAAACAATGCCTTAAGTAATAAGGAAAGTCCTAGTTTATAAGTTAATCGTTATTTCAGCTTAACTGAAATATAAAACAAGATGGGAATGAGAGTTTTTGAGTGGTCATACTCATAAGCTTTATACCTATTGGACACAAATAACTTTAAACTCACATAAATAAATAAGCACAAACCTTACTTATACCAAGGCCGTAAGGTGCATTTCAATTAAAAAAATGCCCATGGATATTTTTCAGTGCCACCCACTCTGAGCTCAAAAGCAAGCGGCACTTTCAAAAATACAACGATCGTATAGACAAACTAGGCCGGTTTGACCTTCCTAGTAATGTCTTGGACGAATCATATTCGTCTTGGTAGTACAAGCACAAGATTGCTGACTAAAGTCTTCGGAAGGTTATATTTGCGGGGAAAAAAACATTATCACCGCGTTGTAACGGAGCACAGCGCCATCTATGTATCATGAACGCAGACAAAAACTAAATGACTTGGGAAACTTTGCCGTTATAGTAAGAGTTGACAACAGATGGCGTTGTACGTAATTGCATCGCGGTGATAAAATTGCTCCAGTGGTGTATTTAGGTCACATACACTTTATGCTCGTCACTAGTTATCTAAGAATATTATAATTTAAGGTAATATGTATCATATAGTTAAGTTAGTTTTTAAGTATGTGATATTTATCTAGTCCTTATATTGTGATATTATTAAATAAGTTATTATATTTATAATTTTATATTATTACTTATCATCATTTTTGAAGGTGCTGCCGCCGAAAGGAAAGGCAGTGCCAAAAAATACGATTATACAGGGTGGAATTTTGTAATGCCACCTGAAGGGATCATAATAGTTAAGTCAGTTTTTAAGTATGTGATGTTTATCTAGTCCTTACATTGTGATATTATTAAATAAGTTATTATATTTAGGTATAATAAGTCATACGACTAACGGAGTCAAAACTTTTTGGAGGTGCTGCCGCTGAAAGGTTATAATTATAATCGTATTTCTGGTGCTGCCCTCACCAGAAATACGATTATATAACCATTAAATACTAAATTCTATTAATAATTGAAATATTTATATTTTATTTATTTTTATTTTTCTTTATTCAGAAAACCACAGCTCTTTATAATAATAATACAAACCTACCTACACTTTACGCCCGCCACTACATTTAAATTCATAATTATGTACATAATAGGGTCCGTTCCCACAGCCATCCGGTTTTGCAAGATCCAGTAATGAAATCGGTTTTTTGCAGGACACTGCAAACTGGTTGTTCGTGTGACCATTAATTAATTAATATTAAAAGAAGTATACTACTAAACGGGATCCTGCAAAAATCGGGATGTCCCCGAAGGAACAATGCCTTAAGTAATAAGGAAAGTCCTAGTTTATAAGTTGAATCGTTATTTCAGCTTAACTGAAATATAAAACAAGATGGGAATGAGAGTTTTTGATTGGTCATACTCATAAGCTTTATACCTATTGGACACAAAGAACTTTACACTCACATAAATAAATAAGCACAAACCTTACATACCAAGGCCGTAAGGTGCATTTCAAATAAAAAATGCCATGGATATTTTCCAGCGCCACCCGCTCTGAGCTCAAAAGCAAGCGGCACTTTCAAAAATACAACGATCGTATAGACAAACTAGGCCGGTTTGACCTTCCTAGTAATGTCTTGGACGAATCATATTCGTCTTGGTAGTACAAGCACAAGATTGCCGATTAAAGTCTTCGGAAGGTTATATTTGCTGGGAAAAAAACATTATCACCGCGATGTAACGGAGCACAGCGCCATCTATGTATCATGAAAGTAGACAAAAACTTAATGACTTGGGAAACTTTGCCGTTTTAGTAAGAGTTGACAACAGATGGCGTTGTACGTTATTGCATCGCGGTGATTAAATTGCTCCAGTGGCGTATTTAGGTCACATACACTTTATGCTCGTCACTAGTTATTTAAGAATATTATAATTTAAGGTAATATGTATCATATAGTTAAGTTAGTTTTTAAGTACCTATGTGATATTTATCTAGTCCTTATATTGTGATATTATTAAATAAGTTATTATAATTTTATATTCATTCATTCATCAACACTTTTTGGAGGTGCTGCCGCCGAAAGGCATGGCAGCACCAGAAATACGATTATAATAACCATTACATACTAATTATTTCTATTCATAATTGTATATGGATATAACATATACATTATAATATAGTTATATGGACAGTTTTTGTAGGTGATGCCTAGCCAAAAACAAAGCAGCGCTAAAAGTACGATTTTAAAAACAATCATCCATCTATTAATTGGAACTCACTATCGTAAAACTTTCACTATTTAATTCTGCACAACGACATCTATGTATTATGAAAGTAGACATAAACTAAATGACTTTGGAAACTTTGCCGTTTTAGTAAGAGTTGACAACAGAAATGGCGTTGTACGTAATTAAATCGCGTTGATAAAAGTGACATATTTAGCTTACATTGTGTCTGCCATCATAGAATATACAATATAACAGTTATATAAAAGTTTTTGTAGGTGCTGCCTAGCCAAAAGCACAGCAGCGCTAAAAATACGAGTTAAAAATCTAACCAAAATAAAATTTCATTCTTTAAGGTAATTGTTATATTGGCTGCTGCGATACAAGCTTTTTTATTATTAGTGCAGAGACCGCCAATAAAATTCTACATGAGTGAAATATTTTAAAAATAAATATGTACATACTTTTTTATTTTATCTACTATACAGTGTGTCCGGGCATGTAGTGATCAAACTTTAAAGGCGTAATCTATGGATAATTTTATCGATGAAAATACTTCAAAGNATTTTGTAAATATGCCACATAGATTTTTTTTTATATTTTTCTGATAACCAGCATAACTTGCCTCAACACCCAGTTCCGGCTTGACGTTACATTACGGGACACCCTGTATATATATAGATTATTTTTCAAGATAAATGCTGAGCGGGTTTGTTTTTTGTTTTTCTTGTTGTATTTTTTTCTATATGTGTCAATAAAGTTATTTCTATTTCTATATTAACAATCAATTTTCTTTTATTCATTTAATTTAAAATTACATGCCATTAGGTACTTTTTGTGGCAGACTTATGGCTTAAAAGCCCATAATTTCGAGGTTAATGCAGTATTAGCTTTTAAAAGTCAAGGGTACACCTACATTAATATTCGAGTTAAACTATCTATTGAATTTGAATTAACATTCATAAATAATGTTTTTAACATAGGTGAAAATTATCGGCCTCAGGGGTCAGAGGTTTGATTCCTGAGTGAAGCCTAGAATAACATAGAGTCATTGATCTTAAACAATTACCATACCTAAAAGTGTTTTTTAAAAGCCTACTTGCAAAAATAAAATGAGTTTTCATACTAAGTATAACAAGAACGATATTTATTCGTGCTCAGGGTACAGAGGACACGTCTAGGCAATCCTCAGTCGAAAAAAGTGATAATGATTTTTTTTATGTCTCACCTAGGAATAATTGAACTTGGGTCTCGGGTGGAGAGACATCAACCACTCAACCACAGGGGTCTGTAGTATCATTACATTAGTCAATTAAACACAAAAAATTACACAAAAAATAGGGAAGTCATAACATTA